CTTGACCCCCAGTACCACATGCCGTGCTGGCCCCAGAACCCTGGGAACACCATGCTGGCCACAGAAACCAAGTGTGGAGGCGCACGCCCGTAATCCCAGTACTGGGGGCGCTGAGGCAGGAGGATCACTAGGAGTCCAGGCTGCATAGCAAGACCCTATACCAAATACATACATAAATACAAAATCAAATCAGAAATGCCTCTCAGAGATGGTGACCACATTGAAAGACAAGCCTTACTCAACCTAATCAAAAAAAGGAAAACACTCAAGTCTCTGCAAGTAAGGATGGAAAGGGAAAAATCACAACAGATCCTGCAGAAATCCAAAAGATTAATACCTACTTTGAAGGGTCAGCCAAATGGCTCAGCAGATTAAAGCGCCTGCAAGTAGGCTCAGGGGCCAGTGGTTCAATCCCTGGGCCTGCCATACAGGCCTCGCCCCCTGGGTGCACTGAGATGGCAGTTAAGACTGGGCATGGTGGCATGCACCGGTAATGGTAGCTCTTGGGAGTCTATAAACAGGCAGGCACTATGAGTCTAATCTAGTAGTGAGACCCTGAACACCCTGTGGACCCTTCCCTAAAAAACAAAATAAATAAAATAAAAACAAAAAACCTATTTTGAGAACCTGTCTCCTAATAAGATGGAAAATATAAGAAGAAATAGAAAGATCCCTAGATACATATAAATTACCAAAGATGAATCAAGAAGATATAAAAATTCTACATAAACCTACATCAGTCAATGAAATGACAAATGAAATTAAAAACCTATCAATAAAGAAAAGCCCATGGCCTGCCTGGTGGATTTACTGCTGACTTCTACAAAACAATTTAGAGAAGACCTAATGCCATTACTTTTCAAGCTCTTTAGTGAAATGTAAAGAGAGCAATACTCCCAAATTCCTTCTTAAAACAAGCATTACCCTGAGATACCAAAAGCAGAGAAGAATACAACCAAAAAAGAGAAGTACAGCCCCATCTCCCTAATGAACACAGATGCAAAAACCCTCGGCGAGACACTGGCACACAGACTGTGCAAATCATCAAGAAGACTATTTGCCACGACCGAGTAAGATTCGGCTGAAGGCTGCAGGCCTGGCTCAACGTAGGCAAGTCAATAACTGTGCCACACTGGTAGAGCCAAGAATAAAACCATCTCAGTAGAAGCAGAAAAAGCATTTCACAAAGTCCAGCACCCATTCATGAAAAGGCCTTCCAGAAAATTAACAGACGATCTTAATCTCCACCTGATAAAAGCCATCTTTGACAAACCAAGTGCCAACATCATACTAAATGGACAAAAACTGAAGGCTTTCACTCTAAAATTAGGAGCAAGACAAGGATGCCCACTATGGCCACTCCTGTTCAAGACAGTTCTGGAAACATTAGCCAAGGCAATGAAGGAAGAGAAACAAATACAAGGAACAAAGATCAGAAAGGAAGAAGTTAAATTATCGTTATTTACAGATAACATGATACTCTACATCGAAGACCTCAAGAACTCCACCAAATGACTTGGAGACTCAATGACGGAATTCAGTAGTGTGGCTGGATACAAAGTCAGCATTCAAAAATCAATAGTATTGATTTTGTTAATATATTTTCTGTTATCTGTACACAAATAACAAACTCACTGAGAGAGAAACTAGGTTAAGTGTATCTTTCACAATAGCATACAAAGAATGAAATATCTAGCAACCAATGTAATAAAGGAAGTAAAAGACCTTTACACTGAACACTATAGAACTCTGAAAAAGGAGACTGAAGAGACTGTCAGAAAATGGAAAGATAACCCTGTTCTTGGGAAGGAGGAACCAATATAGGGAAAATGGCCACAGTCCCAAAATTGTCATACAGCTTTCGTGTAACCCCAGTCAAAATGCTATTAATATACCTCACAAAATGAGAAGAAAAAAATCCTAAAATTCATTTGGAACCAAAAGAAGCCAAGAAGGGCTGGGGAGGTGGCTTAGCAGTCTAAGTGCCTGCCCAGCAAGTGCAGGGACCTGGATTTGATTCCCAGTGCTGCATGCTGCGCTGGCCTGGAACCCCAGGCATGCTGCGCTGGCCACCAAAACTGGATGTGGTGGCGCATGCCGTGATCCCAGCGCCGGGGAGGCCGAGACAGGAACTGCGTAGGAGACCCTGAATAGAATAAATAAGTAAGTAAATAAATAAATAAAACATGAAAGAAACCTAGACGAGCAAAAGCAGTTTTAGGCAACAAAGGCCAGGCAGGGGGTGAAACAGAAAGATTATTTCCATGTCAGACCAAAAATTGGAACAAAATTTATTAATAGAGCTGGCGCCTAAACACCCGATCCTTACAGATCAGAAACAAGTTTGGCCTCTTTCTTTGCTTCACCTCTGCTTAAATAGCGCCTTGGTTTCCATGGTAACCTGGATGGAGTGGCGTGCACAGACAGTTCTTTGTAATTAGTTCTGTTTTCCTCTTTTTTTCCCTCTCTCTCTTACCTCTTTACCAACAACCTATCAAAGGTAAGAAAGGACTGAAGAAGTGACAACATTTTAACAAGGGTAGCAAAAGAGTGACAGCATCCTAACAAGGGTGGGGAAGGCTAAACTAGATCTTCTTTTGCTAGGATAAAATTAACCCATTGAGAGCTGCCATCCTCTACACTAGCCTCACAATTCCTGGCTTGAAATTATATTACACAACAGCGCAGTTCTAGCAAACAAGCAGAAACAGGGACTGGAGCCAACTAAAGGTAGGAACAATTCCAAACACACTTAGCCACCTTATCTTTGATGAAAGGGCCAAACACGACCATTGCAAAAAAGGTAGCCTCTTTAATAGGCAATGCTGGAAAAGCTGGCTTTCCACATTCTGAGGATTAAAACTGGACTCATATCCTAAACCAAAATTGCAATGGATCAATGAGCTAAATATTAAAACAGAAACATGAAATCTGCTGGAAGACGGGCTAGGTAGAGCTCTTGAGATTGGTTCAGGCAAAGACTTTAAGAACAAAATACCAATCACATATGAAATATCACAAAGAATCAACAACTGGGACCTCATTTCATAAAAAGTTTTGCAGAGCAAAAGAAACCTCTGACAGAATGAACGAGAACAGCTTTTCCGCCTGTTCCTCAGACAGGGGACTAATATCTACAATATATAAAGATCTCAAAATACCAGACCTCCCCAAATTTAAGGACCCAACCCCAAAATGGGCCTGTGAAATAAATGTATTTTCCGATGAAGAAGTATAAATTGCAAATAGGCAGATGAAGAAAGGGTTAACATCATTCTAAAGGTAGGAGGTGAGGCGTCTGCCTGCCGGTTAGTTAGCTCAGCTGTCCAAGTGCCTGCTTAAGCTCAAGCAGCCAGGCTCAGGATACGGTGGTTTGATCCCCAGATCCTCATGCCGTACCAGACCTGCCATAAGGCAACCTGAGCCAGCACCCCCCCGCAAAAAAATCCTTCTCAACTTTACAAAAAAGGGGATGCAAATGTAGGACCATTCTGTGTCTGTATATACAAAATAGTTAGGATAGATATACAGCTACTTTCTCTTAATTCAATGAGAAGAAAGATTTGTACTAGTAGTGTTGGGACAGGCTATCAGGTCTGCATCTTGTACTGTGAATAACCACCACGAAGACAGCAATATGCAATGTATTAATTATTGCAACTGCCCTGTTAATCTGTTTTGAGACCATGTCATTGCTATTTGTTTCTCAATAAAATTCATTAAAAAAAAAAAAAAAAAGACAGGCGTTGAAACAACACTGAGACGCCACCCGCTCCGGGAAGCACGGCTGTCATCAAGAAATCAAGCATGACAAATGCTGGCCCGGCTGCAGAGAAAACAGAGCCCTTCTCCGCTGCTGGTGGGGGTGCAGGCTGGTGCAGCCACTGTGGAAATCAGTGTGGAGACTCCTCAGACAATTGACACCAGAGGCTCCGTTCAGCCCAGCTACTCCCCTTCTCGTAGCTTCCTGGCAGAGTTAAAAGCGCTGCGGCACCGTGATGTATGCACGCCAGCGTTTGCAGCGGCACAATTTACAGCACTACATCTTAGAAACAGGGAGATGCCCAGCAACTGATGAACAGGCGAAGGAGTCTTTTACAATGGAGTACTACTCTGCCCTTAAAAAGGATCGGCTTGAGACATTTCCGGCTAAATGGAAGGTAGGTTCTAGTGTGAGAAACGGGAAGAAAAGGTGCAAATGCAGAGGGGCACAAGTGAGGGGAGAAAGGGCGGAAGCGTCAAGGGAAAAATAAAAGGGAAAAATGGGAAAAAAGCTTTTGCATTCAAATTAGTCGCTCAGATTACCAGAGAGCATACAATTCAACAACTGCTGTTTTATTCCTATCATTTTGTTTAGTGAAATTCTGTATTGTTTCTAATGTTTTTTTTTATTATTTTTAATTCTCTTTAAAAATAAAAAGTAAGCTTATGCAAATAAGGAGAGCAGGACGGATCGAGGGGCGTAAAGGGAATGGGAGAAAACTAGAGGCAGCGTGCCCTGTGTAGGTATGAGGCTCCGGGAAGGCGCGACCATGTGTAAAGTCTAAAATGGACAGAGAAAACAGAAGCGTAGAAGAGGGTTAGAGCACGGACCTAACAAGTCCTGACTCCTTAACACGCTTCCAACAAACAGCTTGGCCCCAGAGAAGACCTCTCCCCCGGGGGATGGCTGCTGCCCGGTATGTGACGCGCCACCACAACCGCAGGAAGCCCGAACGAACATCTCCCAGTCTGAGGACGAGAAAAGAAAACCGACAAAACGTTAGAAGTTTCACTGGTAGGCCATCTTTCTCACGCCACAACTGTATGTAAAATCAGTGAAGTTTTAAGAGTATTTATACATAGAAATAAGACCAGTCACTTGGTGGGGCCACGGGGCTGAAGCATGCCCAGCCCAGGCCCGTCCACGGCGCTCTGCCAGGCCCAGCAAAGCCGCCCACGAGGTCGCGGCTCTGGGACTCCGGCGGCACAAGCAGAAGAGAACACAGACAGACACGTACCCACTGCGTCAGCACCGCCTCCTTCATGGCCTCTGTGAACGCAACAGCAAACCTAGCAAATGAACAAAGATAATGGAAACAATTAGGCCAGAATTCAATTAACACAACTATGAAACAGCGCTTTGGAACAAATCGTGAGAGACAGGGCGAGATGCTGGATTTACAGTGCAATCCATCTTTATTACTCGTGGTCACTGGCCATTAGGTCTGATCTCGATTCGCATCAGAAAAACAAGCCGGGCATGCCAGAGGTAACCCAGTGACGCTCGTGACGTCCCACTTTTCTTGTTCCTTCCATGTGAGGTCATAGAAACAGAGACAAATTTTTCAAACACGGTCAGCACGATGTAGAAGAGTGTCATAGCCATTTGTGTACCCCCATGTTCCCCAAAGCCTCACAAAGCCACGGCTTGGAGGTGGGGTCTGGGAACAGTGACTGAATCTGGTGGGCGACCACTGACCACTGCCGTGCTGGAGGGAGAGGCGGGTCAGAACAGGTGGGCGGGTCGGGGCTGTGACAGAAGCACAGTCCTCCCTCCCTGCCTTCTGCCACTCTGCTTCCTGACCACACGAGGGACAGCCCCTCTCCCAGACCCCTCCTCCCTGGCCGCTGCCCTGGGGCCAGCCAACTGTCAACTACAAACATGAACCAAATTACAGCCCTCTCTTAAGTGCTGAGCTCTGAGCATTTTGTCCCAGCAAACCAGGGAGATGGCTCAGTAGAATAAGCGCTTCCCTGGCAAGCGCAAGGGCCTGGGTTCAATCCCCGGTTCTGAAAAAGAAAAAAAAGTGACTAAGACAGAGAGAAGCAGGCCCTCGTCTGTCTACCCTGAGCGCTGCGGAGCCGGTGACCCACCGGTCACCTTCACAGGGGCAGGCTGCGCTCTGTGCCTGAGAGCCGCCTAGGGCGCCTGCCGGCCACTGCGTCCCGCCCTCGCCAGCGGCAGGGATCGCCACGCAGTTCAGGGGCTCGCTAGCGAATGTGCAGAATGCCAGCGTGAGAGGATGAAGGCGGCTGCGCCCCTCTAATGGCAGCGCAGGAGGACCGGCCAGCCGCCTCTGGGGGGGTGCACGGCCCCCCGGAGGAGCAGCACAAAGACGTTCCTCTTGCCACTTTGAACAAGTCCACCAGCAGCACTTCACACTTTCCACTGGAAGTTGGCAAAATAGTTACAGAGTCCACACGTGCCTTGAGGTAACAAACCCCTAGAAATTCGGATAAAGAAGAATTCGGAGAGGGGACCCGCACTGGCCATACAACACGCTCCAAGTGTAAAAATTAAAATAGAGTTGCCCATGAGAGAAGACAGGAAGAGCAGAGCCCAACCCGAGGCAGGACCCGACCTCAGTGCGGCTGAGACTTCCACGGAGCACGCGCTCGGCTGTGTGGCACGAAGGAGAAGCTTCCTTCCTCGCGGCAGGTGTCTCAGGAAAGCTCACGGAGAGCTGCACCGCTGTGCCTCCGTCGCCGGTCTCCAAGAGCCCAGCAAAGGTTCGCTAAGTGCACAGGCAACGAACTTCAAAGGTGGGTAGATCGGACTGTGCAAAAGCCAGAGTCCCTTCCAAGGTCTCCATTCAGCCCACTCAGGAGAATGAGCTTTTGCCCAGTTCAAGGGGACCTCGTGTTGATGGACCCAGCGGCTTCATCTCCACCAGTCACACATGTCCTCCTGCAGCATGGGCTGCAGGGGCCTCTCCTGCCCCCTGACATGCCTTGGCATGGTCCCCACGATGGGTTCTGGGCACTGGGTCTCAGCTACCCTCCCTGACCCCTCGCCCCAGCACCCCCTTGAGGGGTGCTGCTGTGCTGGGAGCACCTCCCAGTTCCCAAGGTGCACCAGCATTGAACGACTCGCCCCTTCACAGCTCTGACACCCCCACGCTGCACACACTCTAGCACGCTTCCTTCCTCTCTTGATCTCATAAGACAACCGCCCCCTTAGCAAGCCCAACGTGAGGACCAAGAATTCCCAGATCCAGAGACGCGACCTGCATTCCGGCTCTGCCTGCTGCGGGAGCCTAGGATACCCAGCACTCGTAAGTGCAGAGCGTGGATCTTAGTTTCTAAATAACAGACCCCAAAAGAAGGAACGAGGTGTCCTTTGAGAGCTGTCCATAGAAGGGGACAAGGTGCATTTGGGCTAAACCAGGGACATCAGACAGTGCCGGGAAGGAGCAACATGCTCAGAAGGGCAAGCCAGGTCAGCACCACCCAGCCACCAACCTCGACAGGGCCAGGGGCCAAACGTGGGACAGCCTGGACACCAAAGCAAATGCCAGGAATGGGACATCCATAGAAGAAAGTGAGGATCACAGAGTGCTCGGCCCTAGATGCCCCCCGGCCTCACACGTGACACTCACCAGTCAGGAGGACTCACTACCATGGGTTTGTAGCCCAGGGTGATGTCAGGAGGGGGGCCTGGCAGAGGAGCTGGGGCACTGGGGTATGGCCGGCGGGTCTGTCTCCCTCGGCCCCCCTTGATCTCTTTCTGCTCCCTGCAGCCCTGCCGTGGACTGCTCTCCTCTGCTAGGCTGTCCAGCCTTAGAGCCAGGGGACGGAGCCTCCACCCACCAGGAGCCTAAATAAACCTCTTCTAACTTGTAGGTGTCGGGTATGGTATCACAGTAGCGGAAAGTGGCCCTGTTGCTAAGAATAAATTATTCAATACAACAGAGGTGGGGTCAAAAGGACGACTCCTCCTTATCACTGGAATTCCTGGGCATGAATGTAGAAGGTGCCATGCCAACAGGAAGTCACTGTGGGGTGCACTTGGCAGGAGCAAGGGCCGCAGGGAAAGAGCCATTCCGGGGGATCACAACCTGGAGGGTGGGGCTCAGAGGCCCTCTTGCCCCCTCTGCCTTCTTCAAGCCTCTGGGCAGCTGGCAAGGACAGTGCGGAGGGTCAGATCTCACCAGGCTGCACAGTGGGGCCGTGTGACCCTCCTGGCACCAGCCACAGTAGAGGGACGATGGTGGGGCCCAGCCAGGACTCAGCCATCAGCATCCACGAGGAGTGGCTCCCCGTCCTGCCGGAAAGCTGAGAGGAAGCCAGTGAGCTGAACTGTAAGGGGATACACGCCACACTGGGACACTGGGACAGAAGGAAAGGGCCCAAGTAGCCTCAGGGAAAGCCTCAGTTGGAGAAACTTCAGAACGTGGCCAAGTCAAGAACACACACTGTGGAGACTGCTTGCGGCCACCCCGTCCCTTGCTAATACCGGGTGAACGCTTTCTGCTACCGTTTTCCGCGGGAGTGAATGCCGCTGCCGGACTTCTGCAGCCCAAGGACCCGCAGCCAGAGGACACATGATGTGACAGCCTCAGACTTGCCAGAGGGACGAAACAAATCTGGCCCAGCAAAAAGGAGAGCTGAGCTACCACCACCCAGGGGACTGGCTCAGGGCCCTAGAACCACGATTTTACCCCCCGGATGCGTCTCTGGCTGACACTCAGGGACAGTGCTCAGGGACATGTCTGTAGAGAGCTAAACCCATAACTGTGGGATGCACAGGTCCCCGGCTTACTGCAGGAAAGGCAGTGATGCAGGAGTAGGGGGCAGGGCTGCTCACGGCTGTCCCCAGTCCTCCACAGTGCCAGGTCCCCAGCAGGCAGCAGGACCCTGTCCGCATCAGAGGGTAACAGCAGGGACACAGCTCTGACCTCAACTCTGACAGAGGGGTGCAGGACACCTGGGTGGAAACCAGGAGGTGGCATGAAGGGCAAGGGTGAGGATGGCAGGCAGCATGGCTGGGCGTGGTCACTGCCATACCCACAGTGACCCTGGGCTTCAGACACAGCACCCCATGGCCTGGGAGGGCAAAGCGGGGCCAGCAGTCTGGGAGGGCCAGATGGGGCAGGGGTGCTGCAGAGCACGTCACAGTCCTGCCAGGCACGCTGGGGTTACTCCACACCCCCCCCCGATTCTGTACAGAAGGTGCCCTGCCCCCAGGAAGCTTTGGGTGCTTAGCTGTCCAGGTGGCAGTTGCCATTCCGGTTACTCCTGTCTCTTGGACACAGCTGGTCCCTGTGATGTTCATGGTGCAAACCAATCTCCAGCTAACAGGCTTGTCTGCCTCTGCGCTTCCTGCCTGTCTACCCCATAGAAGCCCTAGACCACCAGAGATCAGGGCCTGGTATTCTGGGAATGACCCCAGTCAGGGCCTAAGTAAATCCGCCTCTAGATCCCGGGCACCAGCTCGGTCCTTCTGCGTGCTGTCGCATCTGGGGTGCTGGCCGGGTGGAGCAAGGGCCTCTCCGGGTCCTGATGGGAAGGCGTCCCTGCAGACCGAGACCCCAGAGACCTGGAGGAGGACTGCTAGCTCCCTGCTCCAGCAGCTCACATTGGACCCGAACGGTGGAGGCTGCCTCTGCCTGCCTGGCTGCCTGGTTCTGGTAAGACCCCAGTGGGCCAGTCTGCCAGTCCTGGTCAGTGCCAGCAGAAAAGCCTGACCTTTGCTGGTGAAGGCCACGCTCAGGGCAGGGGTCGGAAGGTCTGACCTCTGCATGCTGCTGAGGGACTGCGCGAGTGCTTGGGACGGACAGAGAAGCGACGCGCCATCCTATCTGCTCCACAGAGAAAGGCACTTCGGGAACTGCAGAGTGGCTGGGGTGGGGGGCAGATTGGCTTCTGGGGCGCCGCAGTCAGGTCACACGGGTGACCCGGCCTTGGTACCAGGGGTCTGGCCGGGACCGGGGCTTGATGGGCTCACATCCCCAAAGGGGAGCAGCCGGGCTGCTGGGCGCTGCCCCTCCTTTGCAGGGCATCCACCCTTTATCCCTTGTGCCATCCTCCGAGGGGACACAGGAGAGCCGGTAGGGAGACAGACTGGGCACAGCCAGGACCAACCCACTGTCTCGGTTACTCTTCTCTCGTTGCTGGGGCAAAATAACCAACACCCAAAATGAAGGAAGGAAAGGTTTGTTTAGCTCACAGGAAGTTTCAGTCCATACTCGGCTGGCTCCAAGGCAGGGTGGCACAGGGCACAGAGCAGCAGTTCATGGCAGTGGAGAAGAGCAAGAGTGTGGCTCCACCTTAGGCAGCTGGCCGGCCTC